CAATGCAAGTAAGACATGAATCCTTGAAAGAGCAAAGATCTTTTCAGTTTAACATGCTCAAAACAATCCACATTTGCCGCCTACAAAGACAGGGTAATGGCTCACCCAGAGAGAATCCTGACTGTCCTGCCTTGTACGCAAAGGGTAGTGATACAGCATTTGTACAACATCAGTTGACAGTCTTTCAAGAAGAAAATAAAAGGAAGAAAGTGGTGAGGAAACCATCATTTCCTAACACTGCAGATAAGTTGCAGCATAGCTTATCTGCCTTAGCTGAAAGCTGTCATGTGTAGCATCTTTGCCTCCCCATTTCAGTCTTTGACTCTCTTCCATTTTCATGTTCAATACATATTTGTTTCCTTCTCCTCCATCCATTGTCAAGCACAAAAATACTCATCTGAATGGAGCAAAAGTCAACCACCATCCTTCAAAATAAAACAATATTTACAACTGCAATCATCAGCCTTGATAGTAAACTGCATTTCACTGCATTTTAATGAAGTAAATTCTTCACCCATCTCTTTCCTGTGGATAACTGATGGCACTGTTACAGAATTTGAGAGGGGATGTAGTGTTTCTTGATCAGAAGGGACCAGGAGAAGCTACAAAATCCTGAACTGCATTTTCTGAGTGGTCTGCTACTCTGTGCTGTCCACACAGACTTAGCAGAATTGTTTTAAGTGGTGATGTTGGATATAAGTATTGCCCCAGAGCTTCACACTCTGCTGTGTGTTCCATTTTCCTGATTAGGCCTGCTAAATGTACGGTCCTCATGTAACCTGAAGTCAGGCTCATTATTCTCTTCCCTTTGCCTTAAGCAAGAGAAATAATAATCAAGTTTTCTAACTGCAAACCTCTTGCTTTCTCCTGACATTCAGAAGGAAATAGGAACAGATCACCTTGACCAGAACTCTTAATCACAAGATCAACATATATGAACTCATGAAAATTCATGAGGGGCTCTCCCGACACATGCAAAAAGATTGTGGAAAGCACAAGAACCGTGCAAACTTTAATAGAAGTGAAACAGTGGGGGGGGGAGGGTACATTTAAGGTAACTTTATATTTGATGCATATAATAGTTTTGACAAGAAAAACATAAAATCTAATCTTTTCAAATCTCTTGGAAGATAATCTAGGTATAATGCAGGTCTCTCCTTTAGGAGAAAGAGGATATGACACAATGCAAAAATACTTGCTCATTGTTTACCTGAAGACATGGCTTTTCAAGAACAAGTCAACAAACAACCTCACAGGCAAATTGACTATGCCACTGCCTTGCTGGAAGCTGAGTAAAACAAATCAAGAGCAGCTCCTCAATTCCACTACTCCCTACTAGAGATTATAGCTAGTAATAATACTAATCTGACAGAATAATGCTAAACCTGCTAAGAAAGTTTCTGATTCTGCAATATTTTCTTGTTCTGAACTAAAAAAAAACCAAGACCTTCTTTTCTGATGAAAAGGCAGATTCCTACCTCAGAAGAGTGGATTGCTGATTGGTTAGAGGGCTCACTAAGGCTCTGAGAGACCAAGATTTGAAACACTGCTTGGCCATGTTCTTCTGTGCCAAATTGGTGCCTCAGCTACCAGGTGTTTTCTTTCAATTTCTACTATTGTGTTACTGTAGTAGAAATAGCAATTTCTGCTATTTGGATTTGGGCTGAGCAAATGGGCTGGGTCTAGTCAAACCCACATTCTCTCTCTGCTCAAATAATTACTTAATTATTGATGAATGAAATAAATATCCATTACAAAATTGATACCATAATGACAGTACCCATGTCAAGAGATACGTCTGCACTAGGAAAGTATCCAATTTCATCAGCTGACATGGTCAGCTCTCAGTTTTGAGAAAACCCACCCATACACCATGGGTAGCGTGGTCATTACAGCACTATGCACCAACCCTTATCCATTTCAAGAGAAAGCAGGCATCCAGGTGAAAGAAACACTAACCAATTAATTAATTAGTTAATTAAAGAAGACTACTAAGAAAATCCTCAGATGACTGAATTATGACCATACGCTGACACCATTACATAGCTTTCCACAGTCCAGCACCTACTACATTATTTTGGCCATTTGTACCTGTGAGCTGTGAAATTTTGGCCTAAAGATACATGAACCACTAATAAAAGGTAAGTCAAAGGAACATAGCAAAAATACCCAGCTGAATCAATTCTGATGACAGCACTACATACCATGTCTACTAGGGCAGCACCTACTGTATCATTTTCTTCTACCTTGTTCTCTTGGGGAACTTCAATGTACCGGACATCTGCTGGAAATACAACACAGCAGAGAAGAAACAGTATAAGAGGTTCCTGGATTGTGTGGAAGGTAACTTCCTGACACAGCTGGTAAGTGAGCCTACTAGGGGAGGTGGCTCGCTGGACCGGCTGTTTACAAACAGAGAAGGACAGGTGGGAGAGGTGGTGGTTGGAGGCTGTAGTGGCCTTAGCAACCATGAAATGATAGAGTTCTCAATTCTTGGCGAAGTAAGGAAGGGGGTTCAGCAAAACCACTACCATGGGCTTCCAGAGGGCAGACTTTGGCCTGCTCAGGACACTGGTTGAGAGAGTCCCTTGGGAGGCAGTCATGAAGAGCAAAGGGGTCCAGGAAGGCTGGTCATTCTTCAAAAACAAAGCCTTAAAGGTGCAGGAGCAGGCTGTCCCCACGTGCCGTAAGACGAATCGGCGGGGAGGACAACCAGCCTGGCTGAACAGGGAGATTTTGCTGGGACTCAGGAAGAATAGGAGGGTTTACCTGTTTTGGAAGAAGGGGCAGGCAACTCAAGAAGAGTACAGGGATCTCATTAGGTCATGCAGAGAGAAAAATAGAAAGGCAAAAGCCCAGCTTGAACTCAACCTGGCCACTGTTGGAAGAGATAACAAAAAATGTTTTTTCAAATACATTAAGAGCAAAAAGAGAACCAAGTAGAATCTCCATCCTTTATTGGAGAGAGCTAGGCCTACAACCATTCCTCCAGAAGCTTAAAACCTAGTTTTAAGTGCATAGCAGCAGTGACTCTTTGTGGCAGAAGAGCCTCTGTGTTTTAGTCTCCAAATCATCTTGAGAGTCAAAAATCTGTTGGGAGTCATTGCTACTCAAGACAAAGAAAATCCTGCTTCATTGGTTTCACAAGTTCAAAAGACCTGTCAAAACTACTCAAAAAAATTTTCACTGAACTTTCCCAAATTTCAAAATAGGGTTGGGATTTGCTAAAATTTGCATGGTGCTGCATTCAAACAACCCTACACTGTTCCTAATAGTTTAATTTCCCCATCCATTTGATGAAATCCTGTGACCAAATTCCTTTTACCTAATTTAGAAACTTTGGATAAGTGCCTTTAGTTAAGTGGAAGTTCTTTGAACAGACAGTGAAGAGAGACAGGCACCACTGGCCAGTGAATCAGACCTCAAGTGGGCCAACTCCCCCTCTGAAGGTTTTACCTGTCTCCTTGGAATTTACACGAATTATAAAGCAACTACATTCTCGGTTTTGTCACCTCAGGTTCCTAAAGTTAAGGAAATAAACCTGTGCCTTACTGTGGACCTAGTTATTACTGGTATAAAGGTACCTTCCCATTCGGGACTCAGCTATATTTGGATATGCACTTTTACACTGGTATAATTGTCTTTACCCTAGGGGAGTTGTACTACTTAAGCTACACTGATATAGTCAAAGAAACACAATTTTCTGGTGCAGACATATCCAGTCTGCTCATTATAGAGACTTTATGGTTCATTTTCTAATGGTTCATAAATTGGGACAATATTCCCTAATAAAATTGGGAGGCAAAGGGACTAGAGATTAGGATAGGCAGGCAAGTGGCAAATATAGAGGCAGTAAGTATCAAGACCCTATAATTTTCAAAGTTCTGTTCTGTCAGTGTTCCTCAGAGCGTATACTTATAGCCTGTCTCACCTGCCACATCACCTACTGGCCTTTTATTACTTCAGCCTTTATTCCTTGCAAGATAAACTTGTGGAATGAGCCCATCAATTATTGTACTGATAAGTAATCTGATCCCAAGCCAGCTGCCAGCCTGTCCATTTCAAGTGTGGAAGGCCAGAGTTTATGTCTCCCATAGCTCATAGACAGAAGGCTGCCTTGCTATGTTAAGCCGGGTCTAAGTAAGAGAGGTCTCAATTAACTGCATTCGGTTCAGCTACTGGCTTGCTATGTGATTCTTTATGCCTCTGCTTTGCTCTCTGTAATATGGGACTGACAGTAATACTTTTCTCATGAGGGGAGAGTGAGGAGGAAAAATGCTCAACAGGGAAAGTCAACAGGGAAAGTCAGGTGAAAACTGAGAAACTACAACCATTATCCTTAGCCACCCACCCACACTCAAAATCACCTACAATGCAAATTGAAAACAATATGAAAATGTAGCTCTTTAAAAATGTGCCAGTAATGTTCTGATGCCAGGCCTTCAAACTGATTCCCAAACCCTTGGAAAAGAACGTAGTTGCCAAACTATCACATACGTTAAACAGCAGTAGCCAATGGGCCTGTCCCACTATGGAAAAGAATAAGGAAACGAAATGAAGAATAACTTTCTGCCCCAGAGCACTATCGAATCTGGGAATTCATCATCCTGCTTGCGGATTGCTTCAATAATCTGAGCCAAACAAAGGTACTGGGCGACTCTGAAGTCGTGATTTCAAGAAATGAGTATATGGTGATGGTATCAGTTTCGGAAATTCCCTGTACTCACATATTCTTTCTTTTTCCTGCCCCACAGGATGGCACATCTGAGGCTGTGCTGCAAAATATATCAGTTAACCAATCCAGCTGTAAAAACATTTTTTTAAGCCACGGATCACTTTCCCAGCCCAACTCACAGCACAGACATCAATTTTGAGAATGAATGGAGAAGAATACATTAAACCAGCATTGCTGCCTGATAACTTTGTCTTACGAAAGCACTGTGACAGCGCAGTGAATGTATGTGTGTACACGTACATCTTCAAACAATTCAGGCAAGTGTACATTTATGTCTCCTGGCAATCCATCTCCACATACAGATGCTAATGCAGCCTCTCTCACACAGATGCTTCAGGGCAATCTAACACTGGTGTGGCAAGGATTTTACCGCTTTTATGATGTGAGGAAGGAGCCAAAACACACCCTCAAACCATGACCTTTTCTGTAACGGGTTTTCTGAATGAGATAGCTGCTACTGAGGTAGTATCTAAAGAATCCAGTCCTTGAATAGCTGCTTCTCTCTGCTTTAGTGCCTTTGCCCTGTTTGCCAGCACTTTATTTCATTTTCCAGATTCTGCTACAAAAAACTTGTATAAGCTGTTGCACAATCTGAATGTAGGGCCATCACAGTGGGTTTCTCACCAGGAATCAGATCACAGGAAGGTGGAAAGGAGGGTAGAAAACTGTATGTCAATAGCATTTCTTCATGAGTGAAAAGCAATTTCCTTGTGAAAAGACAAAAAGTAAGAAATCTTCAGAATAAAAGAGTAAGTGAAGGGGGGGTGGGGGGAGGGGGGGAAGAAAAATCAAACATCCCTGTTACTAAGACATATAATAAAGTATATTTACTACCCAAATAATCTTTGCTCCAAGCCAGCTGGTTATGATACTCTCAGATACGTCTGCTGCAAAACAGTAAAAGGTAGAGGGGGATTGATGTCCCGTTCCAGTTCTTTCTGTTCCACCTCTCGCCTCTGAGTTCTGCTGAATGTGACATTTTTCCCTGGCACCTAATACACAGAACTCTGCTGCTAATTTTATGCACAGAGTTCTCATGCTGTGTAATTTGAGGCCAGAGACTCCTCCAACAGCCTGCCAGACAGAGTACGCACCCTTCAACACTGTTTCTGCTGCGAAGAAATGGGGGAAGGGAGAAGGAAATGAGCCAAACAAGAAGCAAGCTTCCAAACTTCTCCAAGATGTTTGGCTGATTTTTGGCGCTCAGATCTACCAGGGATCTACTTCCAGCTCTCCCTGTCCTGTTTGTCAACAGACCGGTCCAGTGGATTTGCCAGCAATTACAATCAGTCAACTTAAGGCACTCGCTTCTCCCCTTTTTTTCACCATATTAGATTCTGTCTGGCTGCTCTAATACTAAATCAGGATGTCGACCACAAGGCTCTTTTAAGACTACCCTGGGACAGAATAAGAAGTTATCTCTGCAAGATTACAATAAAGGATTTAAAAGAGAAACTGGTGTCTTTCTCTCCACCTTAGTTAACATCTCTGCATCTCACGGAGATCTGCACTGTAATATATGCCACTAAAATGAGAATGGACAAGTAAGCTTCAAAACCTGGCCTTGTCATACTCAAAAGAGGATTGAACTGGATGTATCCCCACTAACTGACTAGAAAAGCCTTTGTGCCAGACACCCCTCTTTGCTTCCAGTTAACTGGACCAATTTTTGCTGAAGCCTTTTAGTGGAATCATCACTTTCCGCGGTAGAGAAAGTATTGAATTAGACCCGGTTTTGATACTACTTACTTCTACCTTGACGCTGATAATGCCAGAAGGAGAGCACCCCATACTTCTCCCAACTCCATTTCTCTTGACTGTATCAATCAATAGGCAGTGAGGGAACTACAGGTTAAAAAGAAAAAAAAAGAACTTTGATAACAGAGTTCTATCAATGACTTTTCCTACTGCAAATACCTTATACCCAAACCAAATAAACTGCATAGCCTAAAGACGTCTCTGGATGGTACAGCATCCTCTTCACTAATGCTTCTTCTCTTATAATTATGTTGACCAGCAGAATTAAGTACAGACCTGGTCTTAAAAATAATGGATCTCAAGCCTTGCTGTACAGCAAGTGCTATTATAGCCCACAGATCTGTCTGAGACTACATAAAATCTTTCCTAAAAATCTAAGAAGAGCTGGGACTTTTACTGCTGTTCAGCTGAAACAGAACATCATGAGAACATCCAGAGAACTTTCTGCAGTTACTCTTATCATGAAATATGTGCCTATGTAGAGAGAACAAGGGAGGAAAGACTGAGAAGAGGAACATAGTACTTTATTCCATATCTGGGGTGTGTGATAAACAAAAGATTAGGCATAAGTCAGCTAAGTTCATATACTGATCTGGTACAGCCATCAACATCCTCAACTGGAGAAAAAGAAGAGAATGAGAAGAAAAATAAGGACAATGCACAGTGGACAAAAAAAGGAACATAAAAGGAAAAAATAGGGATGTGTGGAAACAATCAAATGTAAAGGATTGGGAAGAATCCATCCCTCCTCTAAAGACATGCATTGCATTTCCAAACTTGACCCACATATGTCTGGGTATCTAATTTATGAGAGACATGAAGCTGACCAGCCAGCAGGCTGGCCATAAATTATATCTCTTGAATAAGCCATGATGATTTGCATTAGGAGAGAGGAAGGGAAACTGATGAATAAGAATCTTGCCCTTGCCCTCCAGGGCAGCGCCTGGGATATACTCTGTTGGCACCTAAAAATCTGCAGGTGTCCTGAGGTGGCAATATTCCCTGCCAAGACCTCTCCATTATAAAAGCTAACAGATCAAAGCCTTTCTTCCATTGCCTGATAGCATGGCTGCCTAGCACAACCACACTTTCAGATCCACAATGCTTGCAATTTTGCTGACCACGCTTTGCTCAAATCCTTGCTTTTTCCTCTTCTTTCATATATCTTCATTGTTTAGCTCCTTTATTTCTCTCTGTATATGCACTTTTTTTTTTTTGCGTTAGCAAAACAGTAGCCAGTAGATCAAGAGAAATTATTTTTCTTCTCTACTAAATGTCTATAAGGCTGTATCTGGAATACTATCACTAGTTTTGGAGCCCCAAAAACAAGAGAAATATTGACAACCTGGGTAGAGTTCAACAGAGGACAAATAAGGCTGGAGCATATGATATATAAAGAAAGGCTGAAGTAAATGGGTTTCTTTAGCTTAGAGAAGATGGGGAGGGATATCTAATTGCTAATCCAACTAAACAAAGTGGCATTAAAGAGGAGACATAGCTAGACATGTCTAGGTGCACAATGAAAGGACAGGAGACAAGAATCACAAGTTGCAACATGAGAAAAATCTCATTGGGCATAACAAAAAATAATTCAACATGGCACTGGAACAAGGGCCCAGAAAGGCTATGGGAACTCCATCTGGGGACATTTGCAAACTTTAACTAGGCAAGCTTTATCTATCTTTTATACTAGCCCAGCTTTGAGCAAGGCATTGCATAGATGATACCCACTGGCACCTTCTAATGTTATGTATTCTATGTTCAGATACCAGACACTATCCTCAGCTAACTGAAGTCTCTCTCGGAGTTACTGGTCACCTTATCCAAGACAATCTGCTTGACCTAAATTAAAATCTCACATGCATTTGGCAACTGTGAACATTTCAGAGAGTCTACAGTACAGTGCTATAAAATTAAATTTCCTGTATAAAAGGAAAAAAAAAAAGAAAGGGGGAAAACACAAGTTGTCCTAAAACCAAGACTTCTAAAAACATTACCTTTAATAATTTCACAGCAAAGCATACCAATGGATATTCTTGGTTTGGATTGCCAGTAAGAAGCAATCAGCTGACATCTGTGCCTTGCTTACACTACCTACCTCATGCATCTGCAAATTCTTTTCTCTTTGAACACCAGCTTTTCCCTCCTCACCATTTTCCCCTTGTGGCACTCATCTCCAAGCCCATCTTCCTCCTCAACCTACTTTCCTTTCCACATCACCTTTTTTTTGTCTTTTTTTGATTCCTATCTCACCCTTTATTCTTCTAGTCCCAAATCTTTGATCTTGAGTTGGAAAATAATTCTTCAAGGCTCCTCCCCTAAAGAGTAGCTAATTATTTGGCTTTGGGCCTGCTCCTGCTTTGTCAGCTCTCCCTTGTCAACAGGTCTATCAAGTGGATGGGCAAGTTTTGGAATGACCAAGAAACCCATAAACTGACCTGGTAATCCCAGGGAAAGCCTGGTCTTCATTAATGATTCTTGTAAAATAAACAAGAGATTTTCATGCCTAAAGTACATTAGAGCAGCCTTCCTCAAATGCATCAATTATTCAGTGCTGGAAATGGGGGGAGGAGGTAAATATGGCTACCATGACAAAGAATAGAGAGACTAAACTTATGCACCACACAAGCATTAGACCTGCACTAATTTTATTAGCAATAAATATAGTTCTTCAGATTTTCTTTTGCTTTAGTAGCTTGGCTCCCATTACCCTCAGTCTCTTTATTCTTATTGGTGCTGTGGCCTTTAGACACCAAGAGTCTTACTCTAATAAATAAAATTATTATAGAAACTTAACATGCATGGCTACATGTCTGACACAGTGAAACAAAGGATGAAGAAAAATGTACACAACTTGAAATTGGACTCTTAAGGCCATTAACTAGCGAGCAATCAGAAAGGCTGCAGAGTTTTACAAACATATCTGGCTCAGAGAACAAGATTCACAGAGGATAACATTTTCACCACATGACTACATAAGCCCAATGGGTATTTCAGAGATATAATCTGAAAATTCAGTGCAATTTTGCTCTCAGTTACAGAAAAGTTGCTGTTCACGTCTGTCTGAATGCCAGATGTACTACTTAGCAGTCCACCTATGTCATGATGTAACTATACAAAGAGTTTATGAACATCAGAAATTTTTATACTAGAAAAATTGTTAGTTTCACTCATTCCTGAGTCTATATTTTGATTCTTCAGAGCAGACCTGTATTCCTACTCTGAATACTTTATTTCCAATAGTGCCTTATTCCATATGTTGCAGAAAAAATATCTGAATACAAAACACGCTTGCTTTGGCAATATAGTTCACATTCTTACTCCTACTGATGATTGTCTTATGTTTTCAAAGTCTACCAGATTTAGCTAGGCTAACAGCAGATACTCTACTTTTATATATAATCCTTCTTCAAATCTCAATAAACTCTTTGCTGAAATAATAGCCATCCAGCTGCTAAACCCACAAGATAATTAAACACTGTGTGAAAGGACATTTCTTTTTAAGCAGATTTAAATTTTATCAAATGATTACTCCATCTTAATTTGAATACTAATTATTCAAATACTTTTTTCTTTTTAACCTTTTCTCACCTAAGTCCTTTCTTAGGCCCTTGGGCAGTAGAAAAAATAAAAATATAACTGCGGGATAGAAGGCGGCATGAAGAAGGCAAGAAAAAAAAAAGGCATTAAATAGTTATTGGATTCTCATTTAGGCTCCAAATCTGGCTTCAGAAGGACTATTCATAGTTTAAAAGTTAAGCATAAAGTAGAAGGCTGTGCAAGATCACAGTGTCTTTGGCACAAGAATTGTTTCTTGCTATGAGACATATAAGTACAATACTTATGAAAGCCCTTAGTTACAGTTGGATCTACAAAATTTGAGGCAGTATAAAAAAAAGTGAGAAAGAAGCATCTAGGAAAAGAAACTTCTGGTGATTTCTAATAAGTCTATTCTCCAAATAAATATCTGACTGAGTTTTCTCATATTGATTTGGTCTGAGTCTCCATTTTTGACGGCACATATGAAGTACTGGTCAACATGTCTACTATCCATAGGCAGTGTTAAGAAGATGGATGTGGTATCTGTGCTTAAGAATTCACACCTGAATTAATGCTGCCACAGAAGTGCAAACACTTCATCTAAACATGACAGTCTGTAAAAAAGGTGTAATGGGAAAAGGTGTTAACAATACCTTTTTTTTTTATGGGCTAGCAAACTATCTAGAACTACAGGAGAAGGGTGCTTGCTATATGCTATTGATTCCAATCAGGATATCCTTCCCTTCACTTTGTAAAGGTAACAAGTCTTTAAATACATACACATCTGGTTTTCTTTCTCCAAGTGTCTATACTACAAAAATCCCTTCTCACCCGAAAACAACCTATTTATTTCTCTAAACTATGGCTGTATGGTGTGCTACCATTCTAAGGGAGACTTCAGCAGATGTTTTTGTTTTGCTGTCTCATCTTCAGGCTCCTTTTAAGGAGCTATTTAGTCTTTAAGGTTCCCTAATCCCCCAACTAAATTTATCAGCAGTTGATTGCAGCCAAGAGTTAAGCTAAATTAAACTTTGAAATCCCTGTACAGTGTATCAGATGCACTTCTGGTAAGGGAGGTGGAGCAGAAAGCTCCAAATGTTCCACTTAGCAAGAGGCAAGAGAACCATGCTTTTCTCTAAAGGTTTCTCAAAGCTTCCACACATTTTTCAAGATCACCACATTTTTTCTGATTTTGTAAGAGCAAGAACTCAACTATTGAAGCAACTTATCATTTAACTCCATATCAGGTGTGTGCATGTATACATGTGCATAAATTTGCACACAGGTACATACTTTCCTCTACAAGGGTGTACATTATATATGGAGGAGGTATGTGTAAACACACACTCAGGTTAAGACTGCATGAGTGCTTGAGACACCTGTTCCAACTGACACACATGTCGTGAAAAGCTATTTATCTGCATATATATATTTATCACATACACACATACATGTGTGTGTGTCTGTTCCTCAGTCTTTGTCCTCACACAATCAATCATTCCCTTGTTTGATTCTCTCACTCACACTCATAACTAATTATCAGAACAGATATCTTGCTCTCACTCCTGCTGCTAGTGAGTAGTAAAATACACAGTCTTAAATAATTTGCATGTCAACATCAATAGTTGGTTAGTTTTGATGACAATATATGATAATCCCTTATTATTGCAGAACTGTGAACTTCTATGGTACTTCTATGTCAGAACAGAGACAATTATGTATCCTTACACACACACACACACACAAAATAAAAAAAAACCCACAAAACAAAACATAAAAAGGGACAGTCCAGTATGTACTCTTTCTTAAAAAGAAAAAAGCACATAGAAAAAATATGGATGCTTAAGAGGAAATAGAGTAAGATACAGGTTTTTACCTGTGGGCCAGTAATTGCAATCTAAACCATCAGTAGTTTTCAGAAGTCACTAATACCTAACAGGAGATCAGTAACCACAAAGACTGACGGTGTCAATCAAATTCCTGACATATTGGCCTTCTCTCTACAAAGTAATTATTCATGGTACTAATTAATTGATCCCTATCTCTTTGCAATTTATGTAAAAAGCTCTAGAAGAGGGGCCTGGTGTAATCTCCATTAAAAACACCAGAAAGAGTCCCAATGACAACTGTGGAAGATGGCTCAGGTCCTAAAAAGACAACGGAGTTGAGACAACAGCTCTCTGGATGTAAAAGCAACTCTTGCAAATCAGCTTACAGTAAACTAGTGAAATAAAAACAAACTTCCTCTCCAAGGACTTCATAGCATCTACTCTGAGGACACACCAAAGATTTGTTTCCAAAATCATTTGTCTGTCATTTTCACCAGCTTTTTTTTCAGGAGAGAAAGTGCATGTGAGAAGTGTGATTTCTGCTGTCTGTATCCCCATGACTACTAGAAATAGCTAGAAAGGGAATTGGGCACATCGCAGCACACAAAATGTCAGGTTAACAACTTCCAACACAACAGCTCAGAGAAACAGACGCTTGCTTTCTCCCACCTTCATCCTCCCATATCACACTAAAAGAAAAGGAAAAAAAAAAAAGTCAGCAACAGAAAACTAGCCAAAGCCATCTAAGGGAATCAAATATGTCCTTCAGAAATGTAAACCTCTCTAAAAATAGGATGAAAGGCTCAGCAAGTCACTTGTTTTTACTCATAGCAGTAATAAAGGGTCCTTGTAAGGAATTTGCACAAGTTCTGTGCTGTTACAGTAGCATCTGTCTCCCCATTGCTGGAGAGAAACAGTGAAGAGGATTTAGAGCGTGTGTAACCTCAGAGAGAAATCATCTGTCGTTCCCTCAGTTCCCTCACAGGGCATTAGCAAACTTTCCCTCTCCTGGGAGAAGGAAGAGCCACTCTCCTTCCCCTGCCTCCTGTGATTACAGCTTCAAGCATTATTATAATACACGTGCTTCGGAATGATACTAATAATTAGAAAAAAGATCCAGCTCTAGTAAAAAAGGGTAAGAGAAGCCCAACTGAAAAGAGACAACATTCTGTGCAATACACAGGGCGAACCTTGGTAGCAAAGAGGTCAAGCAGCAAACAGATCCTCTCTGTGAAAGGGATGATCCACCAAGTGAAACTACTATCGCAACTACTATACTTCTCATGATCAAAATCTAGAGCAACAAAAAAAGAAAAGGATGGTCCGCTTTGGAAGATTATCCCAGGACAGGATGCAACATGCAATTCCTTGTGCTGCTATACTGTGCGGTCTCATGCAAGCAGCTGATTTGTTGGTGTTTCCGTTGTCTGCCCATTAACAAGAGGAAGTGGTGTTGGAAAAATAAATCCCAAGACAGTCAGACAATAGTAATGGAGGTGCACTACCTCAGAGATCAAAGAGGTTTTTAGTATGCCCTGCTACTTGTTTTTTCTCTCCACAATTAGAAGGTAGAATTGTCAACAGCAGTGCAGAAAAATAACAGAGATGGTACATTTCAAAGCGGCAAAATGCTGCCAATCAGCACATCACTTGTATCTTGCAAGTCTCTGCTTCATCCAAAAGCAAGATATTAATGATCAATTTACTGAAATATCTCATTCTTCTTCAAGACAGCAGCTTCTGTGTCCCACTGAGATCAAAATTCAATGGGCCTGGGAGCTACTGCCTCTTACAAATAACTGTCAAAATACCATAGCATGAGCTAAAAGTGCTGTTGCATATCATTCAGATCTGTACCACATGCTATGCTGATGCTCCACTTCCAAATTACACCATTTCTTTTACCTACACAAGGAATATTCATACAGTTTTGAAAGGAGGATTGCAAAAAGGCCCTGCAACAAGGTGATTTATTGTAAGAGATTGCTACCGTGAAATTTTTTAGGAAGGAGAAACAATACAAATATCCAAGAAAAAAAGTATGCCCATAATAAGCATCAGTTCAGATGTGCCGAATATGGAAAATGTAATGTAAGTTTCTATAAAATGGGTTATTCCAATAAAACTGTTTATTGTTTTTGCAAATAATGTTTTAAATCATGGGAATAAACCTTTTCACATTGACTAGGAAAAAAAAGAAATCCCCATACTCAAGATTATGAACAAGGTGACAAAATTATTATCAGAAGGAATATCTAAAAGGGAATTGTAAGAAGAAGTTGTGGTACACTGGTAATGGCAGGGAAAATATACTCCCCTTAGGAATATGCCAGTGAGACTTTCTTCAATAAAATTCTCTCCAGAAGACAGAGGATAAGTATGTTACAAAAGATAAACTCATTTTCAGTTTGAGATTTACCTGAGGGAATCCCGAACGCAGCAGAAGTGAATGCTGCTGGACAAGCTAACACTTGAACATCCATCCATTCTCTTAAGAAGTTTAGCATGGGTAACAAGAGTAGAGATTTCCTTCCAGCAGTCCTCCCTTTAGGCAACCTGAAGAGATAAAGAAGAGAAAGTACGAGAGAATTCAGTGTTTGGTCTGATTCAGGCCGTGAACTACATGGAGATATTCTTTAGTCCCAGTAAGTTTGCTTTGTGTGTATCTGTTTATTAACAACTGGACTGGGGCTGTTCAACTCGTTTCGTCAGGGTGACTGAAACAGTACTACAGAATAATGACTTTTATTTGCTGATATTCTCCTTGGCTGGATTCAAATCATGACCTAAACCTGAGAAGATATCTCATTTACCAATCGTGTAGGTGGAAGAATGTTTTCTAATGAAATATTGACAATAAATAAACATCTGACACAACCCTGCTCCTTTTCTGCTGCTAGTTACAGAGTTTCTTCACCAGCAATTTCCACTTGAGAGGTTGGCAGGAAAAGCCCCAACTTTCCATTTGAGCATCACTGTTATAAAATTCTTCCCACTCGCTGTTTACCCAGAAAGATATGACTCCTTTGCAAACCTCTGACTTTTAAATCCATCTCACCGTGCACTAACAGCTCTGAAACAAACTACAAGAGCATAAGAAAAAAAAAGCCAGATTCACTAAAGAATAACTATCAAAATGTGGGTTGCCACAGGATTCCAACTGCTAAAACTGAAGTCAAATTTCCCCAAAAGCTGTTTACCCTGATCTGAATGCTTTGACTGCTCTCCTACCAGCAACCTAGTATACATGGGAATAAGTAATGAAGCCATCTTTCTGCTGTGCTAGTTTTTCTGGAATATAACCCCTGAGGCAATAATTACATAGGCTTATCCATCCCAGTGTGAACAACACCAGAGTGTCAATTATGACAAATGTCTGATACCCACAAGTGTCTGTTGTAAAGAAAACCAACTCTTTCCATTCTCTTAACCTTGGGGTCAGGGTTTCCCACTGGGACTAACAGCTTTTTTTCCTGCTGTAAGTATCCGTTTGAGAGTTGCTAGGAGGTGTTATGATACGTAGACCTACTCTTTCAGCACTAGCTTTTTTCTTGTTTGGTAATCTGAGCCTAACTCTCACCAGGGGTTTACACAGAAACACCTATTGCTGTTTTTCATTTGTATTATCTCCTTTGGGTGTTACTGTTTGAGCCATTTCACTTTCTTTTCCACACCATTTGCAATACAAGCTGGAGAGTCCCCAAAGCCCACTGGTAGCATGGACTATTAGTGACCTACTTCTAGCCTCTGGGGTATCTCCTGTAGTCGTTTGCTATTTCCAGCTTTTGAGCCAATTATCAGAGGAGTTGTATGTAAAAATGGAACCACTAAGCGTTGATCCTAGGAATGCAGACTTCTCTCAGGCAAACCAGAATCGCATGGTCTATGAAAAGTAATGGAACCTAAAAAGCCTGAATCAGTCTGATTGCCTCCATCTGGCAGGAGGAAATGGTAATTAGTGTATACAAAACAACTGACATTTTCAGTCACGGGGTAGTAGTGTAAAATATATATATACATGAACAAATATGCTCATATGCAGCCTGAAGAGGGCATATATGAACTCAAGAGCAGCGTATAAGCGAAAAGTCTTAGTAAACATGGACTGAAGTTTCCTGTTTTACATTAACTAAGAAAAAGATTTTTTTCTATGGGTACTGTGAGTCATTCTTTTAACGGATTTATTTTTCGTATACATTCTCTCCACCTGATCATTCCACTTTTCACACTTGTGTGGCATTATAAACTACACTGAGGAATATAAGTCGAGAATCACCATACCAGATCAAAACAAGTTTCCTCTAGTCCTCTAACCCAGTATCCTGTCCCCAACAGTGCACATAGACAAAAGCCTTTGGAGGGACAGAAGCACAAGGCAATCGCATTATGGTACTTTCCCCTAATCCCATCCCAAATCCCAACCCCTTTAGCTCAGGAACTTCACAAGCTCTATGTGGCCTGTATGAGATTGGTAACCTTCAATAGATCTCTCTTCCATGAATTTGCCCATTCTCCTCTCCCAACACATACAAGCTCTCAGTATCACAACATCCTTGGCAGACTGAATTTAATAGGTGTTACATTCTTTACTATATAAATGTATCTTTTGAAAAAGCTACAAGTTGTACTCAACGACATGAAAGGTTTAGTGGTACTTTTGCCAGGAGAGGTTTGTCCTAAAATTCTGGACAACTTTGAATGTGGGTATTGTCATTTCATCTTCCTAATAATTCCCAATTGTATTATATTAATTAAAACTCATATTTACTCCTAATTCTCAAAAAGAATTTCAGTACAGGGATTCTGGAATCCTGAATCACAGTATTATACAATTTATGGCTATACGGAGCACCAAGGCATGTAATTTCAGCTAAGAAGGATAGCAATGTGATATTTCTTCCTTTTTTTAGAATATGAAAGAGGGCAGTATACCTAGGACCATGTGAGAAAGGGCAAGTTTGATAGCAGGAGCAGGAAGCATACACTTATGTCATAACTTACAGGGAAAACACCAAAGAAAATAGGGCTATTGTAAGGATTCCTATCCTGCCTCTAAACATAGATGAGACCAGCATTGAGCCTTTGCCTTAGAGGAAAATGAAAAGAGTTCTTATATAATGGATGCTGGCTATAAAATGCTTCAGAAGGTTTTTAACCAAAATATGCCACAGGCATACAAAATATTTTTTTAAAAAATAGTTTAAATTGCTGCATGACTTCTTTCCAAACCTGAATACAATGTGGATGGGTACTAGATTGTATATACGGCTTGGACTGCAGCAAATTAAACCTGATTTATCATTCTTGTCTTATATAACAGGTTGGAGACTATAAGAGAGACTTCAGAAAACTCCACAAGCTCAGACAGCAAAGTAACTCCACATTATGCTGGGCACCACAATACCAAGCAGATGCCAGCAAAACCAGAGGAATACCAAAAACGAGTAAGAAAAAATGAGTACTGGTCTGGAGAGGCTGATTCATGAGGAAAAATGTAAAATAAATAATTCTGTATAGCTTGGCTAAGCCAAGGACTAAAGGATATTGTAACTGTTTGTAAAATCAAATGAAAGGCATAAGCACCAAGAAGAGAGTGAAAAAGAAGGCTGATCTGGAGGTTTATATGAGATATTGATGAGGCAGAAATATAGAAGAAAAATGTTAACTGGCAACCAAGAAACATTTCTTATCAAGGAAACCTCTAAATTTTAGAATATGCTTTCAAATAAAGGAAGTTATATGGCTTCTTTAACAAATAAGTAGGAAAGGAAATGCAGGGCAAGTGAAAGATGGCTGACTGGTATCCCTGAAGACGGAACTTGCTTGTCACAACGCGTGTACTAGACATGGGAGAGAGCAGGAGGACAGGCTTCCTTTTAAAGTGCTAGGCTAGCACTATGATGATACGATAAAAAATTTTAGGTACATTGGCTGATGAGGGCCTGGAGCACTCATGTCACATAGGCGAACTCTCAGCGATCCCGCTGCCACAACTCTCCATGTCTTTCAGCTTCAGGCAGATTCGTATGAATAACCTCGAAGCGTCAGATTTTGATTGTATTTTTCTTACCACAAAAAAAATCCCAACAACAAAACCCCTTTTACTTAATGAAATACTTGACATGTAACAAAGACCTCACTATATGCCCGATGAGGTCATAAATCTGCTTCTCTCTTTGCAAATAAGCCTTAGTAGGAACTAACTAAAAGGATAAGAAAGGATTTCCACTAATCAGGATTGCTTTCACATGGATGAATTACACAGAGGAATCACAATGATTAGCCCTGCACTCGCTCTCCTCTCACCAGTGAACAAATGCACTCGTTCCAATGGAGCGGACGGAAATGGAAGTCACACCCCAGTAAGCCAAAAAAGACGGTCCTGCAATCCTTATCCTCTCTAAGCTGCCAAAAGAAGGTAAGAGAGAAAAGTTGCTCTGCCAGCTACCAAATGGAAATAGAGCATCCAGCTAACAACCACGAGATACTGGTTATCTCTAAACCAGAATCTAATCCTGGTACTACATCGAGGGTACATAATATGCGAAAGTGTAATGCAAACCCCGCATCACTGAATTTAGCAACCAGCATACTAAGAATCGCACTGTGCCAAAGGCAACACACCAGTCAGTTAAAACATTTTGACCCACAAGAGCCAGCTATCTCACCTTGTAATTAAATACCAAATCTCACCTGCTGTGAGCTAGGGCACAGGCACAGCATTTGTGAGAAGTAAAGGAGGCTACCTGAAAGGTAATATTCCTTCCCCTGCTACTGTAGCTCACTGAAAATTCAAAAACCACTACAGGAAGTGTAATAAAAATAAATGAGAGAGAGAACATTAAACTGATTGATTTAACCTTTGTCATGTTTGATTCAATAAAGCTTCCTCTTCAGAAATTATCTAAAGCTGCTGGAGAATTACCAATTCATCACAGAACTCAGCATCAAAATGATACTGGCAGTAGAGAAATATTTTTAAATACTCTTATCCCATACATACCTCAATTATCTTTCCTCCCTTCTAGGATCAACTAATCAAGCCAGGAAAATCAAATCTCACTTTTGCAGCACCTGCCTTTCCCAAGAGATAATTTGAGTTGTATCACAACAGCTTTGGTTGCTTTTTAACCTCACAACTGTTGGGTTTGAGTCCTGAAACAGAAAAGATTATTTTTTTTTTACTCACAAATATACTCCAGGTAAATGTGATTCATAGTCCTTTACAAAATTACTCCCCTTGCCAGGAAAACATTAAATATCAGGAAAAGTGGCCCCAGGCGGATTACAGAATGGCAAATAGGTCTCAATGGCATTTTTATTGTTGTTGTTATTGCTTGACAGAGCAAAAATAGAGGTGTCTTCAAAGGTGTCTTTCCCTGGAACAAGCAACTCAGCATAAAGAGAATTTATATGGTGAAAAGGCTACAGTCAATGTACTATGACTGTATACGTAGTATTTCTTCATTTACAATGCTCTGTCTCTCCTAAGAAAGCTCAGGTTGCACATTTTTTAAACTTCCACAGCACCTTGCCCAGCAGGGCCCAGAATGGAGATTTTGGGTGCCCCTGTAAGCATGAGCAACCAGAACCACGCAACTGAGTTTGCTGTTGCCTGTGGGAAAAACGTATTTCTGCCTTCCCTCAAGGCCAAGAGGTAAAGCTGGATGTTGTGGCTTTAGGTGCGGGAGGCACTTCAGGGTGGTTCTCTCTTGTTTGGAGTTGTATCTTCAGCCAGGGCTAGAGATGAACTCCTGAGGGTAAGTTTTCACCTCCCCTGTCTCCGCTGAGGAGGTTGCATCTGCCTGCCTTCCGAGCAGGGCCCCCGCTCCAGAAGTGAACCTCCCAGTTCATGGCAGCAGATCTTCCCCACACCACCTCCTCCCTCCGAGGGCAGGAGAAAGGCCTGTTTGCCGCAAGACCCACCCTCCCCCCTGCCTCTCCCCTCAACAATAAAGGTGCAAGGGGACCCTCAGTTTGCCGAGGTAATAGGTTTTCACAGCCAGGCGAAGGTGAGGGCCAAGGATTATTAATAGCGTTCCTTGATTAGTTAAGGGAAAGATGAATGTGACACCGCCACCAAAACCCCTGAATATCTGATACCAGTGAGGAGTGGGTATCAGCTGCCAAAAATAGAAGGAGCAAGAGAGATTATATAAGTGGGGTTCCTACCCCGAGTTCCACCTCTTTTTGACCACCTCCATGTCTAACACCCTTTCCAAGCTTGCTTAGGAGAGATCCAGAAGGTAAGTAGCAAGAAAATGTTCAAAATTCCACAGCAAAGGTGGATTCGCCCGCTCCCAGCAGGAACCCCGGACCTTCACCCGAAGGAGAGCAGATAAGGATCCCTTCCATCCCTCTGACTTTCTCCCCCTTCCCACCAACAAAAGCCCAAAGAGGTGCGAGTCTTCCAAAGGCAGAGGAATGGCTTCCCGCAGAGAAGGCTGAAAACGAGAAGAAAAGGGCTATTAAAAGGAGGAAATAGGCGACCGCATTGAGGGGGAACGAGGAGAAAAGAAGGGGAGAAAGCGAGAGAATGGAAATAACAAAGCAGGGAAGGGGAGGGGAGAAAGGGAACGAGAACGCGAGCAAGGACTCGGTGAACAGAATTTACTGGGATGCTCAGCGGTGAACCAAAGGCAAACACCACCCCCACCCCCTCTCCAAAACACGTCGCAGAAATTCTCTCTCTCTTTACGCACAGATCGCTCTTCAAGCGATGGGACGAAGTTGCCCTCCTTGGTGTGGTCCTTGGGAAGATGAAGGAAAAGTGTGTCACCCTTTTTGCAAAGGACTCCCGGCTTGCTGCTTCAACTTTTGGCGTGGGGGTGGGGGTCTTGCTGTTCATGAAATTCTCCCTGAATTGTTTGCTTTTGACAAGGGCGGGTTGGTTTCGACTTCGTTTACTCGGTCGTTTCCTTAGGAAGAACATCACCCTTCTGGCGCTAGTGGAAGGGGGGAGCTGATCTGTGCGAACGCTTCTGCGCAGGCAACTTGGAAATCCACGGTGTGGATTTTAGCAGAGTTCGGGCGGGAAAATTGGCAAAATCTCAGCAATAAAGAAAAACGCGTCATTCATCTCGCAGGGATGATGAGACAAAAGGTGAAAGGGTCGAGTGTGAAACTGCCAATTCGTGAAACGCCTTTTTTATTAGAATAACATAAGAGTTTTGACTGAAGCTTGGTGGGTAAAAGCTTCTGGAAGTTTGCTCGCTGTCCTTAAGGACCGCGGGGGGTAGAGACGGG